ATATTAAATTATAAATGTATATATATATACAAATATATATATGATTATTAATATTTATCTGTTTCGTTTCATTTCATAGAAAAGTTGCACAAAGTGTAGGAGATATTATCGTGCAATTGGACGTATTCGACGAGCAAAGAGAATGCGACGAAGCACAAAGCCTACAGGGCCCGAATGGCATAAACCTAAGCTCACATCTTGACGTCTTTTACGCGATACTAAGACAGGTATGTAAATTTTTTCTGTTTTTTTATTTATTTTTTTTTTTTGTTTTTATCTATTTCGATATTTAAATTATTCATTAAAACACTCATGCCGTATAAGATTTGCACTATCATTGTCTATTTATGAGGTGATATTAAAGTAAAGGTTTTACTATCATTTACTATATTACGACGTAATTAGTTAGGGCATTGGTCTTGACAGTTATATATTTTCTTTTATGTTCTTTTAAATTCTTTGAAAAATTCATAATCTTTCATCAAATACTATTCGATACCGTCGTGCGTAAAAAATCTTTGCCAGCTTCCTGTTAACGCTTACAATAATTGAAGAGAGAGTTGAAGAGCATTCATTGCCTTTATGCCCTGCATACATTCAACAAACATTCAAAATATGCACATGACATTAGAACTTATAAGTAACTACCATATACGGTACATATATATATATATATATATATATATATATATCATTGTCTGAATGTGTGTAAATTTAAAAAGCGCACACATATATATACATAGACAGATGCTGGCTTGAATGAATGTAAACGCGTACATACCAGTTTAGTCATGCATGTAAGCAAAGTTATTATTAGAACCGGTTTCATTGTCATTAGAAATGGAACTTGAGCAACATTAGAGGAACAAGTTTGCATTTCGCACATACAGTGCGAAGTGTATACTATTTAAAATTTACTTTCTCATCGCTGCGTATTTAGGTAGCCGATACACCACAAGAAGTACCATTTCTCAGCATATTACAGCATCTACTACGCATTGATCCAAAGGAACCCGTAAGCGATATCATTTGGGATACGGCCGAAAAATTAGTACATCGAGCCACTTTACTTGAAAACCATGAAGACTCAGTCCGTCTTTTAAGAACATCGAGTGGTCAAAAATTTACCTGTCCGAATTGTCGTAGTGATGCTACTAGTCCTAGTCGTAAACCATCCGGTGTACCGATTTCACTGCAAAGCGCATCTGCGACAACTTTAACGCCGCTAAATAACAATGGACATTTGCAATCGGTTTCAACAGGAGTTAACAAGCCGCCACCGCCCCCACCACCAGCACCTCCTATACCAACCCATTTAGCGAATAAAGGAGTACCACCACCACCACCTCCACCAATGAACAGGGCACCCGTCCTACCACCCATAGCTGGTGCTCCCCCAATCCCTCCTCCACTGGCTCCCACTAATTTATTAGCACCCCATAGCACTTTGACGCCTTCCCGTCCTTTAACACCCGAACCACGTTTAAATGACATACTGCTGCCACAGCAAGACACTCCTGCACCGAAGACAAAAATGAAGACACTAAATTGGGGTAAAATTCCTCCTAATAAAGTGTTAGGAAAGCAGAATATTTGGACAATAGTTGCCAGCAACCATCAAGGCAATTCTACGACGGATATGGATTGGTCTGAAATGGAAGGTTTGTTTTGCATACAATCAACAAGCGCACAATGCTCCCCCAAGCTAGGACGTGCAGATGGCTTCGCCGGTGGTTCAGTCAGCGTGGGTCACGATACCTTGGATCGAAAGTCAAAAAAGGAAAATACTGAAATTACTTTGTTGGATGGTAAGCGCAGCCTAAATGTGAATATATACCTCAAGCAGTTTAAGGGGTAAGTGAAAGCGTTACACCCAAAGAAGGGAATATGCGGCTACTATATATGCGAATTTGCTTTAAATCGTTGCTTTCAGTTATAATTCCAACGATGAGATAATACAACTTATACGTAATGGTGACCATGAAGCCATAGGAGCTGAAAAATTAAAAGGTTTATTAAAAATTCTACCCGAAGTTGATGAACTTGATATGCTAAAGTCTTTTAACGGCGATCGCCAACGTTTGGGCAGTGCGGAGAAATTTCTTCTTCAACTCACCGAAGTACCAAAGTAAGATAATACCAAGACATAATACCTATAGAGAAATGCATATGGAAACATATATAATATGAAATGTATTCTGTCGCCGTCTCTCTCTCTTCCTCTTTTTCTGTCTCTCTTTTCATCATCTCCATACCTCTAAAATATAGTTACAAATTACGCATTGAGAGTATGGTCCTGAAAGAAGAATTTGCCGCCAATATAACCTATTTAGATCCATGCATAAATGCGATGATATACGCGGGAGATGGTAATTGAAAATTTCTATTTTAGCTGCAGATATCTCTATGATAGCGTTTTACTTGACAGACTTAATGAACAATAAGCATTTACAAGAAGTCCTTTACATGGTAGTGGTCGCTGGTAATTTCCTGAATTCGGGCGGTTACGCTGGTAACGCTGCTGGAGTGAAGCTAATATCGTTACAAAAACTAACTGACATCCGAGCCAATAAGCCCGGCATGAATCTTATACACTTCGTAGCAATGCAGGCTGAAAAACGTAATCCTGCTCTCTTGAACTTTACTCATGAATTGAGTGTTTTGGAAAATGCTTCCAAGTGAGTGCGTCTTCGATTGATTTGTATTTGCATTTGTATTTGTCACGTTTGTAACACAATTTTTCCTTTTTTGCCTTCCAAAGGACTACTCCAGAGCAAATAAACAATGAGATTAATACCCTGGATAATCATATCCGAAGAATCAAGAGGCAAATTGAATTACCCGCAACCGACGAGGATATCAAAGAGCAAATGACGGAATTTTTGCAGAGTGCCGAACGCGAACTATCTGTTCTAAAATCTGGGATGAGGGACGTGGAATCGATGCGACTTAAACTAGCAGAATTCTTTTGCGAAGATCCTGCCACGTTCAAACTTGAGGAGTGCTTGAAAATTTTCCATATATTCTGTGATAAATTTAAACAGGCAATTAAAGAGAATGAACGCCGCCAACAACAAGAGGAACAGGCGACACTTAGGAGAAAGCAAAGAGAAGAACAATTAGCTCGAAAAACCAAATACGGTAACATTTGATATTTGCTTCTTTTTTTTTTTTTGTTGGGAATCAAGTGCAGATATTTATTCGTCCGCTGTCATTCTAGCGAATCAATGCGGTACACCGGTTTCCGATAATGAAACAACACAATACAATGCAGATACAATATTTGATCCTAAGTCGAGTCCAGCCTTTTCACGTAAACGTATGAGTTCGTTTAATAATGGCTCCGATGTAAACAACGGTTGTATCCGAATTGAGGCTACGAATGGTGGTGGTAGTGAGGGTATATCACCCGACATAACGCCGAATGGCAGTATGCGAAGAAGACGCAGCCGTGTCTTGACTGAAGAAGATGATCTTATGGAATTCTTAAGGAGCTCGGGACACGACCATCAAGGTCGAGAACGCAAGGTGGCATACGGCAGTCTAGGTATATTTCCTCAAACGAACATTATCGAACATAACCATAGAAACGATTATTCCTTTTTTCTCGTTTGTAGATCGTTCATGGGCACGACGTGCACGATCAGGTAGCTCTAATCGTAAACGTCCCGACTTATTGAACGTAGATTTTGGTACGGATAGAGAACGTGCCGCTTCACCAGCTCCAATATTAACTCAAGATAAAACATCTCCAGTATCTTCAAGCGGCGGTGAAATAATAAAAGAGGAAGTAAAACCAAGGTAAAATTAGAGTCAAATTTACCTTTAAAATATTTATACACGTAATAGCATTTATTATCTCCATTTTAGGATACCTAGAGAATGGCGGCAAAAGATCGAAACTTGGCTACAATCGAACGAAAACGATGAAAAACACGAAGAATATAAACGTAAGCGACGTTTGGTTAATATCAACCGAAGATCGCTTGAAAACGATTCGGGTAAGTGACTCAAAAATTGCGCGTCGTGCGCATAATAAGAGCTCAAATGTTATTTTGCATTTTGCAGAAAGCGAACGAAAATTGGATACATTACCCGAGGAGAAATGTGTACCCACTACGCCGAATCTTTACAATAACGATTCCAATCAAATAAAAATAAACAAGAATGCGAAAGGCAATATTAACACAACTGATGTGCTTAATCTCTTAAGTGAAAACTATAAACGTCCATATCCGGATTGGAAGCCTTCGGCAACGCTTGATGCAGACGTTGTTGGCACGTTGCAAGCAATAGCAGGTTAGTTAACGCCTTTATTTATATTTTAAGCGTCCTCTTCATGCCTATTTGTTGCAGACGTTAGCAATACGCGAAAAAAACCAAAGTCGAAAGAAAAAACAGTTGAAACTGAAATTGAAGTCCCTGATTCTGCCATCAGCCTTTCACCAACTTTACTAACGGATGATATTCAAAATTATCAAAAACCGAATGATTTGGTCGTTTGCCGAAAACAGAAATCAACAGAAAATAACTATACTTTGGAATCGATTGCCGAAGAAGATCGTCGCAAAACGCTTATACAACAATTGGGTGAACGAGATGCTCCCGACCGGCTTCATACTTATATAATAGAAAAGGAGACAGCACCTACGAAATCTCATGCTTCAATTTTGTCGACGCCAAGCTTAGTTGACTCCCATAAACCGTCAATCAAGTCAAGTATTAATACCAAAGTACATATGGAAAGTGAAGTTAAAACTAAAGTAGATGCAAGTGCTCGGTTTTCAGAGAACTCTAGCAAAACCCAAAGTCACAATGAAATCACTCAGGCATACAATCGTCAGGAAATCGATGCTGATAACATTGAAACTCCGCCAGCGGAACGTAAATTTATATCTAGTCCCCCCACAGCTGTAGTAATGGTAAACGGAAGAGTCGAAAATCTTACAACGACAAATGCAAACCACAAAAATATTGAAACGGAACAGACATGTATTGAAAACCAACTGGACAACGCCGCACCCGGGCATTTCGATCGTTATTCTTTAGCAAGACGCACAAGACGCTTCAAACGTCCTACCGATTATAGTAGTGGCAATGAGGAATTATCCTCAAATAAAGTTTCCATTGAAAATAAATCATCAGCTCAACCGGTCAATACTATTGAAAGTCGTAAAGGCCAAGCAACAAAGGTTGTGGAAAAACCAGCATCTCTACCGTCAAACAATCAAAATGCCGAAGTTATCCCCAAACGTCCCGCACTGAGCTCAAGAACGATAACCAAACTTGAAAAAGTGGGTCGCCACATAAGCTCCATTAATCAAAAAGATGTGCAAGAAGCCATTCGAAATTTAAAATCACCAACCGATATACCTGAACGTCTATGGAGTCCGTCACGTAATGCGGCGAAAAACAAATCGAACTTGCCTACAGGGCATATACCCGCGACCACAATCAATAGCGGTTCCGCGATTATAAAAATTTCTAATCATGAGCTTAACGATGAAGGTTTTGAGGAAACGCAAAGTCTAGTCTCTGATACTCCGTCACATGGCAAAGAGAGCACGAATTCTTCCTGCAATGAAGTCAACGAGACGTCGAGCGTGCTACATAAAACGATCACTCAAAAAACAACGGCACCCATACAAAAGATATCTAGCAAATTAGCAGACAGACTGCATTTATCCAAACTAAGAAATGCGCAGGCAACAAGACCTTTGCCGTCTAGTAGTCAAAGTGCCCCACGAAAAATTGTAGTTTCAGTAGATAAAACACGCAATGCACGGGTAGCAAATGGGCAATTAGTGACAGGTTCAGGTACATATGCAAACAATCCTCAGCAACGACGAACTAACGGCCCGATCACTGCAAACATACGCAATGTTGAACGCAGCGGTTCACGCAACAGTTTACGTTCATCGCGTTCTTCCATTAACAGTGCCGCGTCTACTCAAACCGTTAAACGTATGCCCGTAATGCTAAATAAAGCACCGTTACAAACCGTATCGGTAGAATCTTCGCCAAGCAAAAGACCTTTGGCGGCTCAGAACACAAAAATTACTTTAAACGGTGTGCGCATGAGCGGTGTTCCTGCCAGCCGAAGTAGCTCCAGTGGCTCCAGCATCGGACATAATATTGTAGTTGTACGTAAAACTTCGTCCAACGCATTGCAACGCCATCATCCTGCCAACAATAATCTTGGCAGTACAAGTTTCAAAGAGAATCAAACCAATGTGGGCTCTTCAAGGCCTCAGGCAGCTCGTAATACCATACTGGTAAAGACAACATTAACAAATGCACCCGCCATGTCAAGTATGCAACGTAACAATAACCCTCGCAGCAATAGCTCTAACTCACGAGGTATCAGCAGTTTTATGAGGCCAACTACTGCTAGTACTACTAAACGTCAGAAATAAGTGCACATAATAAAAAAAAAAAACATTGTAACATTCCAAAATGATAAAAAGATCTAACGAGAAACTGATTCAAAGACAGATTTTATTAATAATCCATTATCTGTTTTGTTAGAGTATTATTAACTAGTATTTAATAATAAATAGTCTCAAATTGTTACTAGTACCGCAACCAAATTATAAACAAAATTAGTATTAGTCAGTCAAAGCCTCCAAAATGATTAGTCCCCCTGTTCCCCTCCTCCAAAATTGAAAATATTTTAAATATCAAAACTTAAACCGTCCAAAAACTCTTTCGAATTTGTATGGCACTTGTTATAAATAAAAAACTTTTTTTTTTTTTTTTTTTTTTGTATAAGAAACCAACATTTACAATCATCACAGCAAACAATGCCGGCCAAAACTTACAATATTAATGTCTTATATAATGAGTGTCGATATCAAAGAAAAATGGCCAATAATATAAGGCGAGTAGTCCCATAATTATAAGTACTATAAGTACATATATACATGTCATGTTGAGAAATTCAAAAACACCACATAAATCCCGTAACAATGAAAGACACAAAGGACACCAAATCTCATTTACATCATACATGCATATATTTTTTATATCTAATCCAATGTATCAAAAAATAATAATAATAATAATAATAATAATAAAAAATAAAAATAGTTGGTAATATATAACTTTTATCGCATACAGACACAATACAGGTATATAGCGGGTGCAAAACACCAAAGTCACAATTACTCTTTAAATATATTTTAACAAGAAAACGAATTATTTTAAGCTAATGACAGCCGCAATAGAGCTGAGGAAATCGGTTTGCTTTACTTACTAATGGAAGACAAACGAAATTTTATAAAATTTGACTCTTCTACCGAAATTCTCTCATCTCTTAACTTATGTAATAAGACTTGATAATAAATAGAAGCGCAGTCAGTTTATAGGCACATACATATGTATGTTCAAATGCATACATAACGCATACACTCACCTACTTATTTACACAATCATATAAAAGCATAAATAAAAAAAAAAATCAAGAACAAATTTAATGGGAAACCTTTTTTATATAATTTTAGAAAATAGTCCCACGTATACAAACTCTAATTCTGTCTAATTCTAATGTCTCGGTCTGTCTGTCTGTTTGTCTGTCTCTCCCTCCCTCTCTCTCACTCACTCACACACTCACTCACTCACTTACTCACTCATTCAAATACAGTTTAATTCTAAACATAAGTTCGTAACGCACTTTAATTAATTTAACTATAAGTACTAACAGTTTGACTTAATGTTCACTAATAGAAAGAGAAACACTTTTTAAATTAGATTTATTGTGTGATTAACTTACTATTGCTCTCGGACACACACAAACACAAAATAAAACATAATAATACTTAGAAATTTAGTTAATGTTTAAAATGTTTATGAAAATTTCAATAAAAACGTTAACAAATTTGCATACAAAAGAATATTTTCATCGATTAATTAAATATTTATTGATTCCTTTCTCATTCGATATTGACATTTTCAACAAAAGGGCAAAAAAACCTACGAATATGATATATTGTTACGAAATTTGCTTTTCTTGATGTGATTCGCTCCACTAGTAGATCATGGATTTTTTTTTTACAATCCTATTTCGGCAATACTCCCGACGTCTCGACTCAAATGTTCTACTCCGACTAACTCTGTCGTCGGTAAATATTCTGTTTATATGTACTTTTACAAGCATAGTACTCTTACCTAAGTTCATGGCGCCATTTTGAATCCGTTAATCGGCTTGTCCACTAATCTTTTTCGTTAGCCGGCAGTTGCATAAGGTGACATGAATGTGCCTGAGTTTTTTCAATTGCGAGAAATTTATTTTCTGGGAAAATCAATAAGATGGCTTGAAACTAGACTTGAGATTTCCGTAACAATATATAATAATTGGAAAAAGAAAAAAAAGACTATCACTTATGACGAGGGATTGATTTGTGCATCCGGTTGCTGTGGCGAATGTATTATTGTATCGTTTGCAATCAATGATGTCGAAATATCTTCCTGAATATCTTGTAAACTTGCAGATAATACTAGATTTTGGTGCCGTTGTTGTTCCAGCTGCTGCTGCCGCTGATCTTGGAATACAGTTGTTTCTATTTTTGCGTCAGTAAGCTTTGTTCTTTTTAATGATGAACTTCTTGCGTAGTTATCTTCGTTAAACCATTCCTTGTGAGACTCAAGATAACTGAAATGGTGAAGCAGTACATTTCCAAATAAAACTCATACATTTTATTGGCTTTGAATTTAATTGAATGCAATTTCTGAACAACTTACTTTGTGAAGGTATCCAAATGTTGTAGAAGAACTTTCAGTTTGTCATCACTCATATTTGTTGCATTTAAAAATTCCGGCAGTTTTACTAAAAAATAAAAAATAGAACTTTGCCTCAAAGCTCCCCCCGCCCATCATATCTTTTAACAGAATTGTGGCAAGGGTTTAACGTGGGTTCCTGCCTGAAAGGCTTAACCCCACGGTGGCCCAAACCACTTTAAGCGAACTACGCCCCCTGACGAGTTAGACAATCCCCACAGAGTAGGGGCCTAAACAGCACCAGAGTCCAGAACGGTTTATTGTGTATGGAACAATAAACCCCACTCTAGTCAATGGTGAGGCCTAGCTGCACTCAGATTGTTCCATTTTAGCTAGGAACTCGCCAACCACAACCACCACGAGTACTCCCCGAAGGGCGCACCCAAGCAGTCAGGCCTCACAAATTGATCAACGCTTGCTTCCGCCATAAGGCTTCCACTGTGCTGTTGATCAATTACCACCATTACCCGCAGGCATCCGTGACATATGTTCAAAAGTAAAAATAGGTAAAAAGGGAAAAACCTTTCCGTCATATCCCTTTTTTCATTTTTGCATGTATTAAATTAATTTGCCAGAGGTCTTCTATTAATCGGCCAAAGGGAAGGCCGTCCGTCAAATCCTTTTTGCATTAATAGTAAAATTAATTTATCCATTACGACTTTAAGAACAAAGTCCATCATACACCCGTAGGCATACGTGGCTTTGTGAGCCGAGCCTCCTGACCCCCGTGGCTCCCAGTTTGTTTTACAAAGCCTTTGGCATACTTTGGGCGGATGTTAAAAACAACCGTGCTTGCTTCGGATTCACCATACTTCCTGGTTGCCAACACCAGTGAACTACTTTTCCTCGAGATATATAGGTCTCGGGTATTGCACTGACATGGCAGGGGCGATCTACCATGCACTCGCTAGATTACTACCTTCAACGTACTTAATACCATTCATATATTTCCTAGGTAGTAACAAGCTATTGAGTGAAGAGCTCATCTTCCAGCCAATCCCTCCACCATCTCTCAGAAACTCATCGCCGAGTTAGCAGCCCAAAACCTTAAACTCTTCTTAGCCGGCCGAAGCCGTTGCCCGGGGATCACCACTGGGAGGTGAGAGTTTCGGTACATCTATGCTACCCATCAAAGCATAGTTTATCTTTTAACAATAAGAAATTACCTATCAGTCTTGCCAAATGGGGTGCACCAAATATCATAGACGGTCCCGGCGCCGCGTTAGATGGTAACAGTCGCCATGATAACACACTCTGTAAGAAATCTTGTATTTGTGGTGAAATAGGTTGCAACGATTTTAAATAATTGAGATTTGAGATCGGTATAGACGAATGCAACGGTGTCGAAGCTCCTGAACTTGTACTGGCAATGCTCGACAAGCAATTTTCTAATGTCAAATCGCAATCATCGCTACGATGTGAACGTAACTTTCTACGCTGAGGCTGATCTTCTTGTATTGACATATGTTGTGTCGAGGACACTACCGCTGTGTTGGCTAATAACGTAGATGGTGTAGCAGTTTCCGTGTGCTCGGACGATGTCTGCATAGTTGCACTATGAACTTCATTCGTGTCCGATTTTGCGTTAAACCAATCCAACGAAAATGCCGGTGTCGGCACGTAAGTGAAATTTTTCAAATTCTCTTCCGATAAAAAGGAGAAAGCATGTTCTTTCTCCTCTTTATAAAGTAAATGATCAGTTACGGTGAAATCGAAGTAAATGCGTAGACCGTCAGCGACTTCCTTAAGCAATCCAACACTAAGTTAAACCAAAATGGGAATAAAAAGTCAATTAATATTAAGAAATCCAATACCATTTACATACGTTGTGATAATTTTATCAACTTCTTTTTCTTTTTTGTCTGTCCGTTGTTGTGTATTACGGCGGCGTGTACTTTCTGCCTGGGTTGTGGAGAAAACCATTTTCACTGCAGTCTGCTTAACGAAATTTTCTAAGATAGCAATGGCTGGTAAGCGTGAAGGTAGAGTATGTTGTTTAGCATATTTCACGATCATGTCGTGATCGTACTCTAAATATTGCCGCAAACGCTCACTGATCCGGAGCATAACACGATCTTCATCGTGAATGCTCTCAATAGAACTGCTATACGAATCCGTTTCGCAATCTGAACCGCAAAATATTGAAATTAATTTTTAAATTCAAATATATATGCTGTGATAACATACTCATGTAACAATCTTCTTCATGTTTTTCAAATGTACTTCCAGAACTGAAATTATCTTCAGATAAACCACGTGGCCTTAATTTACTAGGTGAAGTACTTGCATCGGCTGAGTCTTCGGATGTGGCTGCCGATTTTCTCAATCGCTTTTTGTTACTGCTGCGCTCCTTACGGTATAAATAAGCGCCTCTGCACGAAAATGAAAAAAAAAAAATTAAAACTACGCAAATTCCATGCATAACCTAATTCAGAATACTCAGTTTTATCCATCATATTTTATCACAAATTTTATCTAATTAATATTTTGTTTAGAAAAGCCTTCAAATTAGGGTTTTGCTTGTATAGACCACATACGGCATTTCAATTCTTTTTCTTTTTTTCCTTTTTATTATTAATTGAACTTTTATTTACACTTTATATTTTATAATTTTTACAAATCGTATTTTAAATGTGTACAAACGTTTAGCTTATGCGCACTGACTTTCCGATCCCATGAACTACTTCAGCCCTGAAAATGCACCTTGTATTGAATTGTCTTGCGACCTCGCTTATCCTTCGTTTCGTACGTTCCGAAAATCTAAACAAACGCAATATGAGCATAAACAATGAACATTCTCTTGACTCTTCTATAGCTTTTTATAATACATGAATTATCTTTCCCGCAATTGTATGACCCTCATCAGGTATTCTTTATGCAAGCAATCATGTCCAACAGGGATACAAAAAAAAAAAAAACAATTTTGTTATACAAAAATTAATAAATCGTTGGGTTTCAATTTGTCATATCGTACATTTTTGCTTACTTACTTCTATCAAAGCTGAATGAAGAGTCCATAAATGGAATGTACGACATTTTCATTTCAATTTTTATTCTCTTTGCCTGTCCATTTCAGAAACCCGTATAATTATAAAGAATCAGCAATAAAAATTAACTATTTCAACATTAATGTAGTTATTTCATCAATACTTGCAACCAACAATAACCCAAAGTATATTAAGTATTATACCTGTAATAGAAAACGCAACTCTAAATTGCAAAAATTTTGTTTTTCATTTTGATTAAAGAAAATTTCAACTATCTTTGTAATTATTAATTAAAGTGATAGCAAAATTAATTATTACGCATTTAATCACTCAATCATTCTTAAATCAGTTAATATTATTGAATATTGGCCTTTTAATGTCTCAAAAATCACATTATTTATAATTAAATGCAACTCTGCCAAATTAATGCCTACAAATACCCACATGATCCCTGGTAATGACGACGGAAATAGGAGTAGTTTCTTCGAGAATATTCTAGTTCGTTCCAAGTTGTTAAGCAAGCTATAAAATCATGTGTAAACAAGCTGTCGGCATCAGTCTTAAAAGGAAAATTGTGCAAAACGCTGCAGAGCTGGTGAATTTCAAAGCGGTTTTTAAACTAATTATTTTCTGTTAAAGTGACTAATCAATTTTCTTGTGTTAAGAAAAGAGAAATTGGAAAATTATTTAAAAAAAAAGTGAATTGTTAATTATTTGGAAGAATTTTACAGTATAAAATAATTCAAGGTGAGTATATTGAATAATAAATTGGAAAATAGTTTTAGCAAAGATATTTTTCCTGCGTTCTTTGGTGCATAAATGGTCTTGCCTACATATATATTTCGTAATTTTTTTTTAGAAAAAGTATACTCGTTTCTTGTGAACTTTCTTTGAGGTTAAAACGAGGAAATAGTTGCAATATATAATTTTGAGCTATTAGAAATTCTTACAATAAATATTCCAATTCTATTATATTATCCAAGAGAAGAAAACAATTTTTTTTTCCGATAAGGTTATGTTTTAATAATTTCTGGAATAATCTAGAACAGTTGTATTCAAACTTTCCGCATTCGTTTAAAGGTTTGCACAACGCGATTTAAGTCCTTTGTGTCCAAAAGAAGATACATTTGTTAAATAGAATATTCATGGCTTCAAAAAAATTGAATAAATTGAAATGCTTACAATTTTTACATGTGCTTATAAGAATTACGTATTTTATATAAAAATCTAATTTACCGCCTACATACGTAGCTTAGCTAATAGTAAAAGCTCAGTTTATATTTTAAAGATAATGATTTCAACTTGTAGTCTAATGTGCTTTTATTCCTTTTCCATAGATGACAGAAGAAATTGAAACATTCGCTTTCCAAGCTGAGATTGCTCAGCTTATGTCATTGATTATCAACACATTCTATTCGAACAAAGAGATTT